CCAATCTGTTTGGCACAGACGTAAACCTTCATCTGCTAAATTCATCAGTGTCCTCATTCTGAAGGACTCACTTCCTCCATAAGTGGTTGAAAGTGAACACTGGGAAGTTGACCAAAGGACATCCCCCTGGTGTCAGGAGTCTGATTTCAGAAACAATTGCTGAAATAGCCAGCTACGAACACAAGACAATTGTTAAAATGCTGCCCTGAACAGGCTGTACTGCTTTGTGGTCAAATAGTCTGTATCTCTGTAGATCAGTGATTCTCAACCTTTCTAATGCTGTGACCCCATAATACAGTTCCCCATGTTGTGGTGACCCCCAAGTGGGTGTGGCCACCAATAAGAGGGAGTAGGACAGCTAGGGAAAAGGGAAAAAAATGGCGGACAGCATGGTTTGGTGACCCCCGTGAAATGGTCATTCGACCCCAAATGGGGTCCCGACCCACAGATTAAGAACCACTGCTGTAGATAAATGGCTATCTAAGTAATAGTCTGGGAACGAAGAGTTAAATTATTTTTGTTTACATCAGACAATACAGTCACTGTTCTATATTGGCAGTTAGAGTAATTCTGAAATTGTTTTAGTCAGGCTTTTGAGTTTCACTGATATTGATTGGTTTAAACTAATGAGGCTTTTTTGCAAGTAGACTTGTATAGAGCTTCACTATCAATCTTCCTGTATGAACACGATTTTGGCTTCTGAAACAGTGTATATTGGATGCCAGTTTGGTGTAGTGGTTAAGGTATCAGGCTAGAAACTGGGAGACTATGTGTTCTAGCCCTACTTTGGCCATTCTCTCTCTCTCTCTCAATTCTAGGAGAGAAACAATGGCAAATGGCTTCCCAAAATCATGCCAAGAAAAGTGTAAGGACTTGTCCTGGCATTTGCCAAGAGTTAACACTGAATTGAAGATACTAAACAAAAAACAACAAACACTCCACAAATTACATTGGTGGGCACTATTTGATAATTATTTATAATTTGTTTTCATTGTATTTTTTATCAATATTATTTTTTTACTGTAAAACTCTATGAATCCTTGGATTCTCATAGATAGATAGATAGAATCCAAAGAGTAAGCGAATAAATCAGTCAGTCTCTGTCTGTTGATCGATCGATTGATCGATCGCCTTATACGAAATGCACCAGCACATTATAATTTAATGGAATGTCCTTTATATAGGAACTCTCGGAGGAATGACAAGGGAGTAACAATTTGCCAAAAGGAAACCAAATGACCAATCTATTGTCATGAAAGCAATTAAGTTCCACTATTAGAAAATTCAAGACCGTAGCTTAATTTTCTACAATATATTGCAGTTTTCGGTAATACTAAATCTTAGGATAAAGTTGTGTCGCAGAGGTTAGACGTTTTCATTGTGTTTGTGTTCATTATTTTGAATCTATGGCAAACCTTCCAGTGCATTGTAATATTTTCTAAACACAGCATTAATTTTTCCAGCATTTAAGTATGTATTTGTATTTACAATATTTAATTATTTGATTTCTTTTTTTTTATTAAAAATTTTTACAGTTTTACAATAAAATAATCCCCCTCTCCCACCCACCCCCAGCCCCCCCATCACCCTCCCCCCTCCTTCCCAGAACTGAATACAGGGTTAATAAAAACTAAAAAAACCCTTACAACTTAAATGAACATCAAACAATTATAAATACATTCAAAGAACAAAATTTTAAATACTTTAACTCCAATATATAAAAACAAAACAAAACGACAGTTCTAATCATTATCTTAAACATAAATTATTCAAAAGCTAAATAATACTTTCTAATCTCATATTTGTGCTGTATAAAATTCACCCATTTTTCCCACACCATAAAATATTTCTCTTGCGATTGATCTTTCAAATAAGCCGAGATTTTTGCCATTTCAGATAAATAAGAAACTTTAAGAAACCATTCCTCTAAAGTAGGCAAAAACTCCTTCTTCCAGTATTGCCCTATCAGCAGCCTTGCTGCTGTAATTAAATTCAGCATTAAAATAATTTCTTTATCATCACAATCAACAATAATGCCTAACAAAAACAATTGTGGTATAAATTTTATCCTTATATTAAAATTTTTTTGAATATTCCACCAAATCTTAATCCAAAAAGCCTTTATATTTTTACATGACCACCAAATATGATAGTACGTTGCATCCAAACACCACATCTCCAACATTTAGGCTGCAGATTTGGATACACACGTGACATCTTTTGTGGATCAAGGTGCCACCTATAAAACATTTTATAAAAATTTTCTCGTAAATTTTGAGCTTGCGTAAATTTAACATTCCTCACCCAGATTGTCTCCCATGTATCTAGTAAAATCGGCTCTTCAAAATTTTGAGCCCATTTAACCATACAATCTTTAACTAATTCTGTTTCTGAATCCAATTCCACTAAAACACCATAAATTCTTTTTATATGAGTTCGACTTTGATCTTTAATTTGTTTCAACAAATTCACATCCTCCCTGATCAAACCCACTTTTTGATCTATCCTCCACCTTTCTAATAATTGTCTATACTGAAACCAAGAATAGTTAATATTTTCTTGTGATAATTCATCCATAGGTTTTAATTGCCAATTTTTCCCATCCCAATTGAGTAATTGTTTATAAGAGGTACTATCCATCTTCACTCCTTTCCTTATTCCTTCTATTGCATGCCCTGGAATTGCCCACAATGGGATTCTAGAATCTGATCTGTAATATTTCTTCCAAACTCGCAATAAAGAAATTCTTAAAATATGAGACTTAAAAGCCCTATCCACCTTTTTATTATATATTAAATAGGCATGCCATCCATATAGTAAATCCCATCCCTCCAAAAGGAGTATATTTACATTTGTTAAATTAATCCAATCACTAATCAATGTTAAAACCACAGCATCATAATACAGTTTCAAATTCGGTACCTTGAGTCCACTTCTCTCTCGAACATCTTGTATAATTTTAAGTTTTACTCTTGGTTTTTTCCCCGCCCAAATAAATTTATTAATACCTTTCTGCCATTCTTCTAGGTTTACCTCTTTCTTTAAAATAGGTATCATTTGAAACAAAAAAAGAAACTTTGGCAAAACATTCATTTTAACCGCAGCAATTCTCCCCAACAAAGATAATTGCAATTTTTTCCAATCATTCAAATCCTTCTGTATTTTAAACCACAACCTTTCATAATTATTTTTATACAATTTCACATTAGAAGCGGATAAGAATACCCCCAAATATTTAACCTTTTTTACAACTTCAAAACCTGTCAATCTAACCAGAGTCTCCTTATCCAGATTGGTCATATTTTTTGGTAATATTTTAGTTTTATTATTATTGACTTTAAAACCAGAAACTAGTCCAAATTGGTTTATCAATTGTAACAATTCCACTACAGAATGAGTTGGTTGAGACAAAGTAACAACCAAATCATCTGCAAAAGCCCTTAGTTTATAATCATTCTTATTAATCTCTATTCCCTTTATTTTAGATGATTCACGAATTTTAATCAACAAAATTTCCAACGTTAAAACAAACAACAAAGGAGACAATGGACAACCCTGTCTAGTCCCCTTTTCAATTTGAAATACCTCAGATAAACCTCCATTAACTATAAGTTATGCTGATTGTCTTTGATAAATACCTCAAAGAGCCAATATTTAATTATTTGATTTCTATACCTGTTCATCTCAGCAAATGACTGCAGCAACTTGAAGCTGCAGAGTCTATGAAGCAACTTACTAAGCTTCTTACTAATCTTTGCAAAGGAAAGAGTCCTGCTCAATAATGCATAACCAATACTTTTCAGTGTGGATAATAATTTAAGTTCACAGCAATACAAATTGCCATGCTTGGTATTCTTGAAACAATTAACTAAGTTTTGTGTTCTCCCTCCTCTGAAAGATGGAGGTCCAATATTTTCACTCTCAAAAATATAGAATATAGGAAACACATGGTTTGCTCCTCAGAGAATCCCCAAGCATTACTAATACCTAAAAAACCTGAAAACATACCAAATCTCTACAGATGACAAAGACTCGGAAAATTCTCACAATTTATATATAAAATAAATAAAGGTTTTGCTGTGTGATTATATCCGGGTGTGAAAGAAAGATCAGTAAAACTGCACAGTTTTCTTTAATTTCTCCTACATAATTGGCATAGAAAATCCAATTACACAGGATCTGATGGGTGGGAAAAATATACACAATTTTGGATGTAGGAGTACACAAACTGTAAAGTGAAAAGCTTAGGTCAGCAAAACAATTTAAGAGTTGATAAGACAGAGCAAGGAATATTCATCACCCATTCTACCATTCTATTTTTCTAAAGATCTGATTTCCCCATTGCCAGATCCTTGGAACTTACCTTGTTGACTAATATCTTACTGGCTATGTATTGCTTAGAATCTTGAAGAGGATTCCAAAATATTTCCAAACCAGTAATTCTTCTCCTCAATTGATGAATATTACTCTATTCTAGACTGCTGAAATCATAGCATGGGACATTTTTAGCATTTTCTGAATTATTTTTCTTTCTAGAATTCAAAAATTACTAACTCACCCCTTTGGCACACATAGTTTGGTGATGTAGATCAGGGGTCCCCAACCTTTGGTCCACGGACAGGTACTGGGCCATGGCATGCTAGTAACTGGTCCGCACAAACAAGCAAAGCCCATCCGTGGGATGCAGGCAGCAAACAAAACCACGCACTCTCCGGTCTGTGGAAAAACCTTTCTCCACAGAACCGGTCCCTGGTGCCCAAAAGGTTGGGGACCTTTGATGTAGATTTTTGACTTCTACATTAGGAACTTTTGTACAAACAGAAACACAATTTGTCCTCTCTCTCTTCCCTCCATTCACACAAATGGCAATTTATAGGCTTGGATGCACTGAAGTCACTAGCATCAAATTTGTTTATCCATTATGAATCTTATCTTTTAACTTATACAATTTAGTAACTCTAAGAAAATGTTTTCTGTAATGATGTTCATTCAGAACTCACCTGACTTTCTTGACTGCTGTTTTCATTACCCATTTCAACAGGGAAACTTCAGAGTCAACTTTTGCATTAAGAGTATCAGCTGAAATAAACAAACAGTCATCAGGGATTTTCCAATAGTGAGGGAAAATAGCAACCCAAGAAGAAAATACCTGCTTTGTGCCTCCCCGAATCTCTGTCTCCATAGAAATTCTCCCCAAGTCAAGCAGGTATGTGCCTGAAAAGATAACTTTACATTACAGATCTAACTTCTGCCAATCCTAGTTTTGAAGTTCTTGTTTGCTCAGTCTCATACAGCAGAGGGGAGCAATCAGAGACATTATGCTCTGACTATGCTCAGGATTAGAATCAAAACAAAAAAGAAGAATGATGGGTCCGCATCATTTCAAAATAAGTTTCCTCTTTATTACAAAATCAATATAATACCCCCCCCCCAACAAAGAATATCATCATGTGCCCTTTGCCCATCTCTATTTCATCAGCTCTGTTGGGGAGTAGAGTGAAGTGACATATTTTTAACAACACCAGAAAGGGAAAATAAATGAAGCTTGGAATCTGAAATGAATAGTTTGGCAAGATTTTTCTGGCATTATCCCTTGGAAGTATGGACTCCAGGCAATGCAATGTCTTAAGCCACCTCTGTTATTTCCCAGCCTGTTTGCTACATCTGTCACTGCCAATATGCAAAGGCAAGATTGGACAAGGCTAGAAGCTGAGCCCAAACTGTTCCATTACAATAACAATATACAGGGGTTAATTGCTCCTTCCATCCCAAAGTGAGATGTGCTTCTTTCTCCTATTTATGCAATATACAAGATTTTAATTTGATTGTTGATGTATAGGTCAAGAACCTTACATTCTGTTATACTTTTTCATAACAGTTATTTTAATTCTTGTTTTTGTGGGGAGAAAAATCTAGCTTATCAAAAGCCAAACTCTTGAATTAGCAGCTACAAGTTTTCTTGTTCAGTAGCAGTTGGGACAGCCAGACACAATAGCTGGAAATTGCTTCTGATTACAAGTTTGTGACAAACTGAGGTTTTCCAGGTATTGAAGTCTGTAACCAGTGCACAATGTACATGTAGATAACTTCAATATAGCAGTAAGGTGATATGCATTCAAAAGTTGGGAGAATGGCCATTGAAATAGTATGAATATGTCTGGGAATTTGAAATAGCCTCATATTTGAAACACAAATTCAGTCATAATTAAACCGCTATATGATTCCAAATTCCACAGACTTCTACCATGCCCAAAATCTGGTTTTATATTAACTTTCTTTAAATCATTCAAGCCTTGAATGATCCCTATTAAATAAGGATGTATTTTTATGACTACATAGAAACAAGTATAATTTTTTACGTTGACATGATTAATGTAATCATATTTTAGTTGGTTTTGTTAATACTCACTTATTAGCATGATTTTAATAATCTATAGCTTTAAAATTACATGAAGGTTAGGGTTAGGCTCTGTGGCTTCTTGATAAACAAGGGAATAAATCTGCTGTGACTTGATTTATGAAGCAACCTTGACCCCATGATCCCTCTTTAGAAGCCATCATCTGATCTATGGCTTTTGGCTGATGCTTATGTGGATTCTGCTTGTGAAATTCTGCCAAAGACTAAAATGGCTAACAATCCTGACTTGGCTCTTGGAACATTGGACTGAATCTGGACTATAGTTCTATGTAGTCCTGTTAAAAGCAAAACCATTTAGACAAGCTTTTGGGTTTGTTTTCCTTGTCCGCTGTTACCTTGAGTAAACTAATAATTTCTATAGCAACTATGTGTGTAATGTATAATTGAAACAGGACAGAAGCAGGACACTCTGGAACATTTCACCTTTCCACTTAATTCAAATACAAATAAATACAAAATCAGGGGGGCAGGGAGCTAAGTGGACAAAAAAGCAAGTATGTGCCAGCCATGGATGCTATATTGAGAACCCATTAGAGAATACAGTAGTCAAAACATATCATTGTTCCTGAGTGCTTTGGTCACATGCTTTCTTGCAGCTATTGGTGAGCAAGAATCAAACATAGTAGAGAATTCACACTACCATACTAGCTCGCATGTTGATGATACTGCTGCCATTCCTCTTACTTTAAATTTCACTATTAAATATTTAATCCTAGAGGGTCAGATTCTGACAGAAAGGAAATCTATGGCACATTACTATAGCTCCTAAGCAATAAAAGTAAGCAGCAAAATTGCTCACAGATCAGAAGCCTTAACATAATATTATTAGTATTAAAGAGTTATACCTAGTCCATATATAGGTTTTGGAGAATCAAGCCAATTATCTCATCAAAAGATATGTGAATCTAGCCAATTATGGTTCATTCAACAAACCTTAATTAAAGAAGCTATGGTTAAATGCAATATATGAACCAGATCACACACACAAACATATAGGTTTTTTTTAATGTGCTAAATTGGATTACTTCATCTTTTATTCCAACCAGAGCCAAAACTTAAGCACCTAATTCATTCCCACATGGTATATGAATATGTATGAAGTTGATGATTAGAGCTGATCTCTTAATGTACATTTTACATCATTCACTATGTTGCAATGCTTTAGAATGTTCTCCACCCTTGCCTGAGGCGGAAATTCAGGGTTTACTGCATTACAGTGTAATTTTGTTTATTGAGAACATATTCAACTACCTAGCATTGATCTTGCTCCCAAGTTAAGCAAGTGGATACACTTTCAGCCTCGAAGATATTTATTTCATTTTAGTTTTGTATAAAGATTAACTACATGTGACAATGTCAAACCTAATTATGTGTGAGGGCAGAATACATTGGATTGGGGAGAGGTTTGTATTTTTTCTCATCCATTTTATTATCTTTTGGAAGTTTCTCTTTCCATAATTCTGTAGCAGCTCCTTCAACTAAGTGTTTCTTGGGGAATAGGTGGCTAAAGTAGCCTTGGTTCCTGTTATTTCTGGAGTCAGGGATCTTAGTGATGTACATCTTCTGTTAGCATTATCCTAATGTATGTACGTGTTGTTGTTTTTCTTTCTGTTCAATCAACTCTGACTCTTGGAGATTGCCTGGAAAAGTCCCTGCCATTTTCTTGGTAAGGTTTTTCAGAAATGTTTGCCATTGCCCCCTTTTTAGATTGAGAGAAAGTAAATTAGCTCAAGATTGCCCAGTTGGCTTTATGCCTAAGGCAGGACTAGAACTCACATTCTCTCAGTTTTTAGCCTGATGCCTTAACCACTGCACCAAACTGGTTCTCAGTGTATGTGTTACTGTATTATGATTGACAAGTGGTGTACTATCTATGGGCTGCAAATATGGCAGCAAATAGAGATTTTTGTATTTCTTTGTTGCCATTTAGCAGTCATTCAGATTTTGGTTACCTGGAAGTGGTAAGTCTACAACTTCTACACTATTGAACTTCTCTTTTATGTATAGTCACAATTTAGATTGTTCATGATGGGTAACTGTGAACTATTTTGCTTTCATGTTAAAAAAAAAAAACCTCCCAACTTTGTTTCATAGTCTGTCTAATTTGAGACTAAACCAGTTTTCCTCTTCAGATGTATGATGAGAGATGAGGGAGAAAGATTGGTACTTGGTTTAATAAATCATGCTTTGAGCATGTTTTTCTTTTAAATTTTTAGAAGTTAAATTTGTTAAATGTCGGTAGTTAAACTATGTGAAATATGTTTCTGAACTAGTAATATGCCAAGCTTAGGAGATCACAGTTCATGTACTGAGCCTTTAGTACCCTAAATATTAAGGCAGTATAAAGTTTCATTTCAATGTTTTCATTTGAAGGCAATTAGATATCAACATCATGAACGGGATCATGGATTTCATTTAAATTATCACTGTGAATGTAGATGTTCTTAGTTTAATTGATTTGTAAAACCTGAGTTTTACAACCTGAGTTTTCCAAATTCAAATTACCCAACTCAAATTATCAAATTCTATGGATCTAAATCCACAGTTTAAATTGGAATAAACTACACACATCTTTTAAATTGCATTCCAGCTCATTTTAGTCCTTTGTGTAAATTGAAGTATACTTCAATATACTTTACAGATATAAAAGTAAATACTTTTATATCTGATTAAAGTCTTTAATTCTTAAAATAGAAATACAGCTAATACCAGATCGACTTGAAAAACTTTGTATGTGCATATAGTATAATCTGGTTAAAATGGGACTACCATTTGTTAAATAAACTATAATAGGCTGAGTTAATACATTTCTGTAAGACAGAATTCATGGCTTGCATCCTACACCTCTAGGCTGAGAGAAGACAGCTATATCCAAAACAAACATTATCGTGTTGAACCCAGTCAAACCTACATCCGTATTAGACAGACATAGGTATCCTTCAGCTAAACTCCATTTGTCCCAAATACTATAAGGAATAAAAATGGGTTGCAAGAGTTGTAGTCCACAACATCTGGAAGACTTAAGTGGTCTCTCAGTAGTCTAAACTCTGAGTAATTAATGAGACAATAAATCCAACTCAGAAAAGTGTATTTCTGAATAAACATTTAAGATCTATACTAAAAATAGAAGAAGAAACAGCTACCATTCATTTATAAGAATATTTTCTCTGTTCAATTTTTTGTAGTCCATCTTGCAGCGTAAAGTCCTCTGGACTCTTTCACATATTCTAACACATTAGAATTAGAATATTCCACTTTTTAAATTTACATATTAATTTTAATTTCCCCTTCTAAGTTTTAGGCAAGACATTTTTGAAGCATGCTGGTTTTATGTAATTAAAACCACATAAGCACTGTCTTTCCTAAGTGATGCTCACATAAAGTGGATCTAATGAAATCATTAGAAAAATTGATCTCATAAGAAATTTTAGTACACTTACATGGGAAGATATAATCTGGATCCTTTTTGGAATTCAAGCACTTCCCTCTTTTTCAATTATAATGCTTCAGCCAGCTCTATCTGTTTTCCTTCAGTGCTCTGAATCACATGCATTCACCCTTCATTTAAATGACCCACCTTCAATTAAGCATAACCTGTTGGGCAAAGATGCTGACTCCACCCCAGGTACAGAGTAGAGTCAGTCAATTAACACATTCAATA